TGTGTTGTTCTTTTTTTTTTTTTTTTTTTTTTTTTTTTTTTTTTGGTACCAGGGATTGAACTCAGGACCTTGTGCTTGAGAGGCAGGCAGTAGAACCACTGAGCTAAATCCCCGGCCCTAATTTTGTTATTCCCTGTGTTTTAAATTTTGTCTTCCCATCTGGATCTTAGCTGAGTTCAGGAACTAACTAATGCCTGTGTTCCCCACTGCATTCGGCATAGTCTTGAATGTGGTAAGAGGTGTCCAACAAGTATTGACTTGATGGCCAAATAAAACTGAGATAAATAAAACTTCAGTAATCTCACACATTCATGTTTCTCTTGGTGTGATTCTAATCTTAACAGCCAGGAGTCATGCCAAGGATTGTTTGCACTCAAGATAGAAATGTCTAGCATGTTTATTCTTTTACTTTGGAGCACAGGCAGCACCTGTGAACACACAGCAGCACACACTTCACCCATATACACATCATAAACACTCCTGTCACAGCCCAGCCACCTGTCCATCACTCACTGTCCTGTCATTTCAACTCTGATGATCTCACTCTAACCAAAACACACACCAACCCTTCCTGCAAAACATGCAGCTCTCGTCTTCGTCAGCACTGCTAAATTAACATTTTAGACCAGATAATTATTTATTATTTAGAAACAGGGATGGTACTGTCTGGGAATTACAGGATATTTAGTAGCATCCTTTGCCACTATTGCACACACCCTCAGTTGTGACAATTTTAAAAAAGTTCAGATTATTAATTAGAAGCAATGGATGTACAAATTTATGATTATACTAACAATCATTGACTTCTCTCCTTTAAATCTGTGAATATACTAACAATCACTGAATTATCTACTTTAAATTACTATTTAAAAAACTGTCCAGACATTGCCACAGTTAGGGTGCTCATCACCAGTTGAGAATTACTGTTTTAGAAAGAAGGAGATCTAATTTCCAAGTTCAAGTATACTCTTTTCTAGCTTCCCTTTCTCCACATTGCATTATAAAAACCTCTCTGTGTTATCTATTTGGCTTCCAGTTTTTCTTCTCAGGCTCTAGTCCTCTATTTTCTAGTTTTTCTCAATAGGATTCATCAAATAACAAGTTGGCACTGTATGACCATGTAGATGAACACACAAAAAAAGTCTTTAGATTGCCAGCTGTAATTGCGGAGATGTCTTTTACTTGTAAAGTAATCATATATTCAATTTTGCTATACAGTCAGTACTATTTAAATTAGTGAGGTACGGTTACATTGTTCACAGGTAAGTATAAAGCATCCTAGAGGGTTTTTGTCTTTCTGATCACTTGTGTTATTTTTGCTATAATTTTTACCCTAGTTCATCAATTCCTTTCAGAGAATTTTTTAAAACTCTACTCTGTTTTATGAGAATTGGTCAGTCATGTTTGTGAGAAAATTCCACCCTGAAACAGTTGGAATAAAGTTGAACAGAAAGCTTAGCCAAAAGCAACAAGATTGTGTATGTTTGTAAGCATCAGCTTTGACAATTTTACTACATTAATCACAAAAACACTCAGTCCAAATGGTTAAGAATGAGGCTTGTTTAAATCTTTGTAAATAGGAAGAGGTAGAAGGGTTGAAAGGAGGGCAGGGGAATAGTGAAGAAAATAAGAACCAAGATTTATCATGTAAACATATAAACTCCCAATGATGAATGTCAACATACTGTATACCTAAAATGTACCAGTAAACTTAATGAATAACAAAAAAGAACAAAGTTTGTTTGTTACTCACTAGTTCTGGAACCTACCGCTCTCAACGATAATGAGGCATCCCCCATCTCATCCGAGCTCACCTTCTCCTTACAACCCGGGTGACCCTGTGGTGGCATCTGCCCCCTCTCTTGGGAAAGGAATGTGCTCTCACAGATCCCTTGATACGAGGTTTTAAATGTTTTTAAATATAGTCACTGGCAGTAACTTTCTGCCATAAATCTGGGTAATTTTCTGACATGCACAACCTTCTGGATATGGAAACATGTATTACGTCATACTTTGAGGTAGTGGCACTAGTTAAAGTTTTTATAAAAATGTACATGTTTTTGCTCGGTGAACAAGGTTTCTGTACAACTTAACCCCTACTAACACTTTCATATTTTCCTTTACTTTCTTCAGAGAATCCGTGATTTGGAAGATAAAACAGATATCCAGAAAAGACAGATAAAGGACTTAGAAGAAAAGGTATGTATTAAATTCGGGACCTGTTATCTTTTGTGTTTAATGAGAAACCGGTATTGATTTTGTTCCCTGTGTTTCTCTCTATTATTGTACACCTGGCACAAGCAGGTGTAGGTAGAGTATCTGTGCCACTCACCTTCCGTCAGGTGCCAGGGTTCCAGGCAAGCTGAGCCATCAGTAACATAAACTTCATACTTTAGCCCTATGTCGATTCTTACTCTTCCTGTAATTATTTTCTTTTCTCAATTTCCCCTCTTTATCTTCATTTCTTTTCTTCTGTTTCTTCTGTTTCTTCTGTTTTGTTACTATACTTTGCTCTTTTAGCCTCTTTAAAAAAATCTCCCTCATTATTATTTATTAAAAAAAAAAAACAAAAAAAAAAACACCCTTCATCCTTAGGCTACAATTTCATCCCAACAAAAAGTTCAGAAATTTACATTGACACGTGATAGGCTGTCACATTCCCAGGGTCTGAAAAAGAAACTGCTTTTCCAGGTCAGCCAGCAATTTTTGGAGGAAAAACACAGTGGTTGGTAAAGACAGAACTTGGAAATGGGTGTATGGTAGGAGAAGCAGCTGACAAGGCTTAGGTAGGGGTGCTGAGCAAGCTGCTGTGAGCTAACAGTCTTGCATAACAAAAAATTCTCCCAAGTTGCTTGGAGCATCCCTCTGAGAAACACAGAAAGGATAGCAGAGAGGTCTTCTTTGACATCCTAGTCTTACCGACTGGAAGTCACTGCCTGCGCGTGTCTGCATTAAAAAAAGTATGTACCTTTTTTGCAATATCTTCCATGGCACATGAGAAAAAAATAGCAAACCTTCTGCCATTCCTGAGACCATGGTTAGACTTTCGTTCAGCCCAGTTACCTCCACATAACTATTACCTATAGTTACACATGCAGGCAAGGTCAGAAGGGGCTGATGGAGTTTAGTAGCAAAACCACTAGGCACCCTGGTTCTGGCAGAGGTGTCTTCAGATGCTGTTGACCTTGGTAAGTGTCTGCACCTCTTATGTCTCAGCCATTTTTATAAAATGGAAATCAATCACACCCACCTCCTGTCATGGGTCCCATGAGGAACAAATGAAGTCACATGTGAAAATTAGGACACACATTAAAAGCTGTATGTCCAGTTAAAAAATATAATTAAAAATTTTTCATCCCTAAACTATACATTCTTTGAAAAATTTTAATTTGAGTCTCCATTTCAGAAGTAGACTATTTAGTTCTACAGGATTGAATGAGGGAAAGGTGTAGTATAATAAATGAAGAAGTGAGCTTAATTTTCCAGTGATGGCGAGAAAGACCCATGGAAGGCAGAGGTTGCCTCCTAGCTTCCCTGGCCATCCAAGGACACACCTAATGTCTCGTGTTCGTGAGTGACCTGCTCTTGGCCGTACTCTGTACTCACTGATAGACTCGAAAAAGAAATCACAGCTTTTCTGCCTCAGAAATCATTCACTCCTTAGTCAGCTGAGGTTTTTAAAATGTGTGGAGGTACAACTATCAATTGTATCATTACAGCCTTTTTCTAAATAGATCCCATGGAAGTTCTAGGGGAAAGAGAATTAAAATTATGTTCATGGTCAAAATTGAATGTAAACCTTTTCACAATTCTTTTGCTCAAAACATTAATAGGTCTGAACTTCATAGACATGTGTGATGATGTAGTGATGAGCTTAATGAAAAATAAAGCCTCTGTAGGTATTATAGTACATATTGCACATAAAATAATAAACTAAGCTAGTTTAAAAACAAACTGATTTTTGAAGAGAGTTGAGTGAGAGGTGAAATTTAACTGGATATTCTTCACACCTGACCTCACTCCTACTCTTGGTCCAGCCTAGTAAAAGCCAAAGATAATTTATGTCAGAGATGCTTTTCATTCCTTCTTTTGGAATACTTAAATATCTACTTAAGGTAAATGAAATTTCTCTTTTTTGTTGCTCATTTCCCTGCACTCAGTATAAGTCAGGTGATAACAACTAAGCCAACAAAATTGTCTCAACCCTGTGTAGCAGTTTACCATATCCAAAGCATTGTCATTGGTACCACCTCATTTGATTCTCCTAACTATTCTATGAGACACAGCAGCTGTTATGATACCTTTGACACAGATAATAAAACAATGGATCAAAGGTAGTAAACAGCTTGTCTAAGATTATCTAACCAAACTAGCAAATCAAGAACAAGTTCAGCGAGTTTGACTGCAAAGCCACCATGGTACAGAGACTAAGAATTTCATTAAAGATGAAATAGCTGCAAGCTTTACATTCTTTTCTTTCTCTAGCTTCTACTATGGCTGAATCCTCAAAGAATTAACAACAAAAAGAAGAACAAAGTGTGTGTTTTTCAGAAAAATAGAATAGTCACCAATAGTCATGGGTCTGGGTCGTTGCACCACGTTTGCAACTTGTTTGTAGAAGTTGGCTATAGTGAAATGAGAACCTTACAAGCAGTGGCAATAAAAGAAATATGCAAATAGCATACATAATACAAGAATGCCATATATAGGCCTTATTCAATGATGCTTCATGAATCAGGAAGCTCCTGGAATGTAAGCAAAACACTCTGGGCTTTATAATAGTCAACTACCAAGGAGATTAACACTTTTATAAAATTGACCTGACACATAGCCTTTTATAATTAGCACACCATTGGTTATATCTCAGGACTACAGAACATATATTTGTTCATCCAGTTATCTACTTCTCCAGTGAAATTGACATTAGTTAAATAAGGATCAGTCTGCCCCAGAGACAGGGCAACAAGAACATCAGGCATCATTATCTGAAACGCCCATTGGTGTAGAGTGGACTTTACGCCAACAGAAGAACCACACACTCACTTGCCCAGGGCTGACCTAGTTCACACCTGTTGTCCCAATGTAATTGCTAATATACTATTTCTCTTTCACCAGTGTTCCACTGAAGACAATCCTAGATTTAACTTGCATATTAATGTCCTCCTTGCTGGGTCTTGGGCCTTAAACCTATCAAATTAATACACACTGATAGCTTGATGAATAATTAAGTGTCTATTCTCATCACATTTGTATTTCTGAAATGTCCTCCCATACATGAAAGATCAGAACAATGATGTATGATGAAATAGGACTCAGAATATCTAAGCACTTGCCCTCACTGTGATATGAATTTATGTGAAAAACTGTTCATGCATGGTTCTGCATTTATTTCTCTCAACTAAAAAATGAGAAGTTTAGATCAATGATCTGTGAGACCCACCCCCCTCACAATTCTAAAATGTGTGAACTGACATTAGTTGAACACTGGTTGCTTGACAGATGTATGAAATGTGTGGATTTCAGAAATGAAAAGGTATGTGTGCCTGTGAGGAGTGGGAAGATTTAAGCAACTTGGGAAAACTAAGATTTTTGTACTACCTGAATGGCTCTACAGAAATTCAGATTTACATAATCTTCTTCTTTTTCTTCTGCAGTTTCTGTTTCTATTCTTGTTCTTCTCTCTTGCCTTTATTCTATGGCCTTGATGTCAAGGTGCCTCTTAAAGGTAAGATTCTATTTAATTCTGAAAAGTGAGAGATTTTTGATAAAAAGATGGTTGTATATAGTTGTGAATAGTTTAGAGTGCTATGTTTCAAAAAAAAACCTATAAAATGAGAAATAAAATAAGAAATAGATTCAATACATTTGCTGACTATTAAAGCAATAAAAATGTTATGAAATATGATGGGAATAGAGAAGTTTTCCAGTTAACTGTATTATTTTGAAAAGCCATAAGGCCTATGAATCTTAGTATTACCATTGTCATCTCCCATTACACAGAAAGAGTTGCTTCTGTATCTGCAGAGTGAAGAAATATGACTGTATCTTTCATATTGCCTCAGCTTGAAAGGATGATTCTGAGAATCGAAAAAGCCAGTAATGACTATTTTTCAACCCATTTCCCAGTCTCTTTATCAGAAGTCAAGAAAGCAGGCTATTGAGTGCAATTGGATCTTGTTTCCAGATAAAGTAGATTCAATGTCAGTTTGGGAGATAAAAAAAGAGAATCATGCTATTGCTATTGCTAAGTCTATGTATCGCTAATATGTGCATAAATAACCTTAGCCAGTTTTTCCAATGCTTAACAATAACAGATCCCAACACACTACCACAGATATGAGAATCCTATCACCAGAGAAAGAAATGAACTAGGGGGTGGGGAAAGTGGAGAGCAAAGACTGGTCAGAATTTTCAAGCATAATACGTGATTCTGATGCCCACACAGATATGGAAACTATAAATCTCAATACTATTATTTTTTAAAAAAACAAAAAGTAACTGCTATTCTAAAGTCAATGGTCATGGTCCATGTCTGTCTGACTATTCTATAAAGCTATATTGTCTAGGGCTGTTTTCTAGACCCATATCATGTAACATTTTTTCTAACAAGTTTAAAAATGAAAGAGAAATACCTTCTCCCTTAGTGAGCATCATCTGTGTCACTTGAATGTAAAACTAGAAAATAAAGGGTTTAGAATGGCACAAAATAAGGAGAGTTAAACACATATGCCCAGAAATTATATTTTTTCTTTACTTTTTGCCTTTACTCCTTCCCTCAAAAGATTTTCTGTCCTTTGGTAAGAAGGGTCATAGCCTTGCAGCACACAAAAGAAAACTAAATCTCTTAAAGTGAATAAAAACATCTAAATTGAAAAGGGGTGAGATTCTCTATGAATGGATCAAAATGGCCAAAGTGTTAGAAAACAACTCCCCAAACAATAAATAACTAAATAAGGTAAATAAAATTTAGTAAGAGGCAAGTAATGCCTGGTGGCTTATAGGGGAAAAATCCACAGACATAAATACTAGCTAATAAATGGGTAGGTTTCAACATTAGTTTAGATAATGGTTGGTATTATTATGTGCCAGGAGTTGTTTTAAGCAATGGGTCATTTAATCCTCATCCAGCCCTGTATGAAGTTCGTATTGCTTCTGTTCTTATTTCACAGTTGGAGAAACTGCAGATGTGACTTTCTCAAAACTATACAGCTACAATAGGCAGGATTAGGATTTGTCCTGACCCAGACAGCCTTACTCCACTGTCTACTTCTAAGCACCAAATAAAACAGCAATATTTATGTTCATATGTGGCAACCTCTGAGAGGCATTTTGTGTGTAGTAGCGTTACCTACTGTCTTTGGAGATTCTGATGTGTTTATCTCTATATCTTTTTTTTTTTTTTTTTTTTTGGTTCCAGGTTTTGCTTGGGCCCT